TATATATATATATATATATTTGCCACCCCCCGCTAGGTCAAAATCAAATTAATACAAAAATACTAATTTAAAGAAATTTAGATTTGTTTAAATGAAGTATTTTATATGATAGTTTTGAAAGAAAAAAGAAAAAAATTTTTCCACATTTTTTTAAATCATCATCCATCATCATCATCATCATCATCATCATTATTATCATTGAGAGGAGTCCTATCTTTTAAATATCTCACCAGTTTTTTCAAATATTTTTCCAATATATATTTTCATTCGATTATTATAATCCAAAGTTTGAAAAATCAATAGTTAATAAATGAAAATAAAACATTGTGTGTTCTACTAAACGAAGGGAGAGAGAGAGAGAGAGAGAGAGAGAGTGACGCGCGGGCACGTTAACACTGTGATAGGTATAAAAAAAAAACGCCTTACAAAAAAATTAAGTGTATTTCGCGGTGGCGACGTTTCAAACGTCATCAAATATTAGTCATTTTATTCATTAAACATTTTATCAATTAGTTTCGATTCAATCGAAAATGTCATTTTGAAGAATAAGCAGAGAGGGAAGGGGGGCTGACTGAATAGTAGTGGGTTCGTCATTGTCCATAAACGGTAGTGATGACTGCATCAAAGAGCAGTGGCATATAATTTAAGAAGTTTATGCATTGAATTTATGACGCTTCAGTGTACTTTTTATTTCTTTATGTTTGTCTTATAAAAATTCAAAATAAAGATATCTCGGATGTCACACGATATTAATATTTGTACTTTGTACCTCTCTGTCATTACAAAAGTCTAAACTGGGTGCATGGTTTAACATTGACATGGAAAATTACTTGAGAGTTTTCTTTTTTTTTCAACAAATACAAACTAAGAAGAAAAGAAGAAGAAGAGCTACAAAATATATATATGTATGTATAGAAAGTGAGAGAGAAAAAACAATTGTAAGAAATACACTTTTTTTAAGTTGGCATGCTATAAATGAAAATCTTATTTAGCACTTACAATTAATACTTTATATATATATACACACAAGATATTAAAAAAAAAAAAACATTTATATAATTATGTAGGTGATATAAAAATGATAAAAGATAATACAATGGCGAACATGTTTGTATTTAAATTTGCTTATAATTATTCTATATCTTATTGTTCATTTATTTCTTTTTCTAATATTTCTTTGTGTTTTATTAATGCTTGTTATTATGCAATTACAGTTATGTATAATACATACTCTCTACGTATAATCGTGATACTTCACAATGGAAAAACAAAAACGTGTTCAATTTTTATTATTTATAATATTATTTATTACAAGTATATATATGTTTAAATCGAATACACGAAGAGAACATTTAAAGTACGATGATTATTTGATAATTTATGAGATCTTCGAATTATTTTTTTGTATTGTTAATATTTAATTGTATTTTTAAGAAGAATCGAATGAAATTTGACACACATATACTTACACATACACTATTATATATATCAGCTTTCTAGTGTTACTTAACAAAAAAATAATGGGAAACGAGAAAATTGGCAAAAACAATCCGTGCCATGTTGTTTATTTTTTTTTTTTGTAAATAATAATATGGTACTTGTGCTTAAAGTGCACACGTGTTATTATACAATTCTATAATAATAAATGATAAGTAAATAGTAATAATAATAATAATAATAATGATAATATAAAACTATTAAGATATATATTATATACATACATATACACATTTAGAGATATATATATACACATGTATATATATATTGAAAGATCTCTGTAACGAGTTAAAAATATGCATTAAATAATTTACTTATTATTGTTAAATAAAATTAAACAGAGAAAAAGAGAGATAGATTCAAAAAAAGGAATGTGAATGTTCTAATAAATTTAAATAATTATGTTTTATTTGAGATAAACAAAAAACAAAACAAAATCAAAAAGAAGAATGAAATCAAAACGAAATTGTGCATCCCATTTCCTTTCGTTTGAGGATTGCTTTTCTTTAAAATTTATAATAATAATAATAATAATATTCTTAACGTCAAAAGAATTGTGAATAGAACGAGTTATTAACAAAACAAAAAAACTAACTAATCTGACGGACTGTTTGTGTATATCGTGTCATTTTATTTATCCAATTTGAATCTAGACATTAATTTGAATAAACTTTATCAGGACAACACCATTATATCAAATATTTTAATTAATTTATAAGTCTAACGCGAAGAAAGGTCAGATAAGCGATAAGTTCTTGAAAATTAGAATGAAAATAAAGAAATAAAGATTGAATAAGTTATGTAGTACGTGTATATACGTGTGCGCGCGCGCGTTGTGTGTATGTAAAAGAGTGAGAGAGAGAGAGAGAGAGAAGAAGAAGAAGAATCGTATGGCCCTAGTAGCCAGAAGTAGAGTAGGTCAGACCGTAATCAGACCACCCTCATACACACACACACATACATATACCCGCACAGATATAAACACGTAACGACTTTGTACGTGGCACAGGAGAGGTGAAAGGAAGGAGAAGGGTGCTATTGGGGTGGTCATCATCGTGTAAGGGTGCAGAAATCTACACACTGCAGTGGAGAAATTAATTCGAGTTTACGGACGATGATCACTTGATCTTTACTTTTTGACTTTCTACCCTTTTGCTAACGCAAATGTTATATTGTGTCACCTGAAAAAGAAAAAGAAAGTTGCATTAACTCTTTCTTGACTCTGCAATGTCCTCGAATACATTCTCGTCGATATGCAAAACCATTCCTTCACATGCATTATGCACCCTACCATAAACGTGCTTCCACCTCCCAACCCCTCTTCCTCTGCAACTCCTCACGTTTGACTGTCATTGAAATAATAAATAATACAACAACAACAAAAATTGCAAAAGCTACTTTATTTAAGATTGTTTAAACTAATGGGGGAAAAGTAGAAGATGAAAAATGTTTCCAATAAATATTAATATTTCTCTCTCCTTTTTCCATCTCCACCCCAACCCAACCCCATTCCAGCCCAGCCCTCAACCCCCATTATGAACAAAGTTATCGACGAACGTCATAATATCTCAATGCGTTTTCTTTTAGTGTGTAAATCCTACTACGAAGTCATTTTCCTTCCATGGTAAATTATTAAATCCATTATCATTAATACCATGAGAAATGGATGATGAAAAGATGGTAAGGATTGGGGGGAGGAAGAAGAGTGAGGAGAGAAATATAGATAAAGATAGATAGAGAAAAGTTTGGTTTATTTTTGGCTGACAATTCATGATCCACCCCTCACCCAGCCCTCCCTCCCCCTTCTTCTTCTACCCCCTTTTCTTTTTTTTCACCGTCACATGGAACACCGCTAAAAAAAGTCGACGAATGACGTGTGTGACCGTACTGGTAGCGGGACGTTCGAGCGCAAACTGAAGTGCAGCTCCTGTGCTTCCTCAGTTACGACGTACAGATAAATCAGAATCGGAGGAAGGAAAGAGAGAGAGAAAGAGAGAGAGAGAGAGAGAGAGAGGAGCTGTAAAAGAAGGGAGGTGGATGATGATAGCTAGAGGAAGGACGGATGTGCAGCGCAGAACGGAGCCTGATCAGGGTGGCGGCGGCAGTAGCGGCCGGCTATTGATTTCAAGGGTTTCCTTAGTCCCCCGCCTTGCCGCTGAGTGCCCGACGGTTTCAGGTCGCCCCAATGTATTCCTGGTGCCCGACACTTAAATCATTCCCTTTTACATTTCCTTATTCTTCTCTTATTCTTATCATACTCTACCTATCATATCTTACAAAGGAGAAGTTACATTATTTAAAAGATAATTGTTAAGCTTAAAAGCTTTTTTAAAAGGGGAACCCCCTCTGTTGTAATTATGGGAGTAGAAATATTTTTAGTAACTCATGTAAATTCTTGTAGTAGATGCTAGAGAGTTAATTCTACCTGTTATCGAATGATTTTCCAAAGAGTACCCTAGTAGGATAAAAAAACTAAAAAGGAAGTATGTTAAAAAAAGATCGGAGGTCATGTGGGAAGGATTGATGGAAGGGAAGGGAACAGAAGGGAAGAGTGGGAAGGTCTTTGGTTGGCGTCGAAGCAGGAGGGTGGTCTAGATACGGCACTGCGCGAGTTGGCCCGAGCACAGACGGATCCGCGGGGTGAGCCGTCGCTCGCCATACGTCGAACTGGGTGGCCCGCGTTGGGGCGTCTCCTTCTATCAAGGATCGGTGTCGTGCAGTCGAACGGGGGACGACCACCGCCTTTTCCTCGACTCTCACCTTTATCCCCGGAAAGCTAGCTTAGCTATTATCTCTCTCTCTTATTTCTCACCTTTCGTTTAGCTTCGATACGATACGATACGATAGAACACGATACACGACGACAACGACAACGACAACGACAACGCGACGACGACGAGTTGTCGTAATTAATCGGAATTTTTTTTGCGGGGTGCGTTGTTATAGTTCGTTAAAGTTTAGTTTTATCGTGGTGAGTTTGAAATAATCGTTAATTGTTCATTTGATTCGGTGCTCGCGTGGAATAAGAAAGTGAAAGAGAGAGAGAGAGAGAACGATGACGACCAGGACGAGGAGGATGACGTTAGCATTTAATCGACGATGTTACTACTCATGGTAGCGCGATCTTTGTGCGTCGCGGTTAGTAGTGCGGCCCTCGTCGGCATCGTCCTCGAGAGTGAATCGGGCGATCGGACGAGCAAGGAGATGGTGTCCTCGGTTTGCGAGGATAACAGTGACTTGGTAGGAAGAATCCTCGCTATCCGCAGTGTCGTGTTTGAGAAAGAAAACGAAAACGAAAACGTGAACAACAAGAACAAGAGGAATAACAACAACAACAACATCAACAACATCAACAACATCAACAACAACAACAACAACGACAACAACAACAATAACAATAACAACAATAAGAAGAACATCGTCGTCGTCGTCGTCAGCAGCTTCCTCCTTGCCTGCGTTGTCTTTGTCGTTTTTCCTACCGCCGTTATCGTCGCCGCCACCAGTACCAGAACCAGCAGAACCAGCACCATCGCTGCCGCCGTCGCCACCGCCGCCGCCGTCACCACCGCCGCCGCCGTCACCACCGCCGCCGCCGTCACCACCGCCGCCGCCGTCACCACCGCCGCCGCTGCCGTCATCAGTGTCGTCACCGCTGCTGCCGACTCTGTATTTGTTCCCCTCACTCCCGCCACTGCCAATACTGCCGTTTACACCAAGAAGACATCTACCACGACGACGACGACGATACCGTGAAAGAAAACCACACCAAGATATTCAATATCTCTCTGTTTCTCTCTTTCTTCACTGCGTGCGTTATCATCCATCATTAATTTTATCCAATTTAGTTCTTTAACAACCCCTTTTTTAATCCATTTGTCTCCTATCTCTTCCTGTCAAACCCTGTTTCTATCTTTATTTTTCAATGTATCTATTTATCTATTTAGCGGACTCTTTTATGGCTGGGATCACTCGATTACATTGCGACCTGTGTGACTCCAACTACTTTTAACAAATACGGTGAGTGTTAATTGTACTCTCTCTCTCTCTTTTTCTCTACCCCTATTTTCTTTATTATTCCTGAAGAAGATCACGAACGACATCTTTAGCTTTCCTTTCGTAATATCACGAGAAGAGAACGACGAGAATCTCGAAGCTCGTTTTCGTCCAACTTTCCTCGATCGATACCGGAGGACGTCGTCGTCGTCGTCGTCGTCGTAGTCGTCATCGTGGCTTGCAACGCCCGTTTTGTTAACTCGAGATCAAAAAGATCGCGTTTCATTCAAATTAAAACCCTAAAAAGTATCTTTGATATATATATATATATATATGATCTCATCCCCCACCCTGTCCCTCACCCCACCCTATGTTGCGGCTACATATATCTGACGGATTCTTTTATACTTTCTAAATTAGCCGACGACTTTAACCGACGTTCAAACACTTATCGTTGAGAAACATTATCAGTTTGTCTATTATCAATCAGTTCTCGTTTAAATTCCTTCTTTTTTTGTCCTCACATCCTCCCTCATCCCTTTAGCAAGGCTATTTCTCATAGGACCTTGACAAATAATTCCCTTCTTCTATTCTTCTAGGTCTTTTTCGCATAACTATATCTAAAAACGTATCAAACTTATTAGGGGGTGACTGGGGGTTGGTGATGATTTTCTTTTTGCTTTTGAACGTTTATCTTCTATCTCTTTCTCACTCTTCCTTCTTTGGCACCCTATCCCTTCTTTCTGTCTCTTTTCACTCGTATGCGCGCGCGCGCGCGCGCACGTATGTCACAAATGAATGACGGTAGAGGGTTTGATGGGGGTGGATAAGCAGGGTGGGTTTTTCCTCGCGCGAAAATTTTCGAATTAAACTGTAAAAACAAAATGAGAATAATTACCAACATTAGGAATGAAAAATATGACAGATAAAGATTGTAAATGAGATAAAGGGAAAGATATAATATGAGAGAGAAAGAAAGAGATTGAGTGATAGAGAATGAGAGTGAGAGTGAGAGAGAGAGAGAGAGAGAGAGAGTAAGAAGGAAACTCGAGTAGGCGCCTTGCCGTCTAGGTGGAGTCAATCGTGCAAGAAAATAATGCGACTACCAAACTGGGGTGAGGGTTGGGGAGAGGGGTGTTTTCTCTATTTTCTAATCGCGTGTGAAACGCGAACACGAATACTTTTTTTTTTAAGTATTAGATTCTTGTTATTGAATAATTCAATAATTGTCAATTAAATATTATTGAATTGTCTAATAATATTAATTAATTCAAATATTTTTAAGTGTGTATTTTATTTGTTAAACAATTGTATTTTGATAAACTGTTCAAGTGCAAGTTCGATGATTGACAATCAGGACCCTTTGTTTTTCCTTTCTATCAACATTTTAATTTTTTTTTGTTATTTTATATATTTCTTCTTTTATATTTAATAATTTTGGTATATATATATATATACCAAACTTATTATACCAAATATATATATATATATTTAATAGTTAATTTAATATACTTAATTATATATAATTTATTATAGATATAAAAAATTAATATAATTAATTTAATTTAATTTTAATATACTAATTTTTAATATAATATATACATTAGGGTTGGTCAAAAAAATCAATTAATTTTTTTTTCAAATGCCACGGAAAAATGGGTTGCTAGACACCTTAAAAAAATTCTCACCAAATATGAGCTCTTAATTTTAATAGGAAGATCCTCCGCATCGCAATTTTTTATTTTTTTTCTCAGTCCAATAGAATAAAATTCATATCTCATCATTAATTGATTGTACAGAAAAATATTCTAGAAGAATTTTGTAGGAAATTAACTGCTCTATAAAAATGGTATCTTATGTTTTGGCGATTAAATTGAGCGTTCAAAAGACGTTCATCATCAAACTTTCATGTGTACTGATTTCTGTCTCTGAATATCTTTTGAATGCTTAATTTAATCGCCAAAACATAAGACACCATTTTTATAGAGCAGTTAATTTCCTACAAAAATTTGTATTGCGCATCTTATAATAGTCATTTATTGTCGAGTTATAAAATTCATAAACATAAATGAAATTTGTCTTAAAATAATCAAACTTAAATCTTCAATATCATTCAAATGGTGAAGTTTACGGAAAAAATATAGGATACCTTTTTTGTAAAGGATTAAATTTCCTAAAAATTCTTCTAGAACATTTCTCTGTACAATCAATTAATGATGAGGTATGAATTTTATTCTATTGGACTGAGAAACAAATAAAAAACTGCGATGCGGAGGATCTTCCTATTAAAATTAAGACCTCATATTTGGTGAGAATTTTTTTAAGATGTCTAGCAACCTATTTTTCCGTGGCATTTGTAAAAAAAAAAATAATTGATTTTTTTGACCCACCCTAATATACATAGTATATTAACCCTTTGCACTCCGCACGACTTTCGACGCTGGGTAGCAGCAACTTCGCCGACTTCGCGGCAGAAACAGCACATTTACAGACCCTCGTATTATCTTCTTAATATATATAAATTACGTGTCACGTTGTTTATCCGCAATAGACTCCTAAACTACTGAACCGATTTTAATAAAATTTTGCACACTGTGTGCAGTTTCATTCAATTTGAAAGATAGGATAGTTTATATCTCAATTTATAATCACAATATTATTTTTTTGCGAATTATTTGTTTATTAACAAAGAGTCATGATTATCTTTGTTAGTTCGATAAGATTCTAACAGATGGCGGTATAAGGTAATTCGTTGACTTAAAGACGTGTGTATCAGACTGATTGTAAGCCACAGCAACGCGTGGCGGGGCACCCCTAGTTTAGTATAATTTTGGAACCAAGTAACGGATTCTAATGATATTGGACTTACATTAATCGGTAGACATCAAGGAACATATTTACCAAAAGAAATTTTACCAAAAGAACTTATTTACCAAGAGAATGTATTTGTGTAATAGCGTTGCAATTGAAAAAAAAAAGCGAGCGTGTTCCATTGTTTTGAAATGTGACACTATTTGATAACATTTCTTTATGCATTATAAATCTCATTATAAAATGCGAGATATGCTCCTATAAAAACCTTTCTTCTACAAATTCTTCTTATCACTCTTCTCAAGTTTCGCCAAAAACGTTCTCGGACCGTCGTGAGCACGCGTCTCGCATTCTTTTAGAACGCAAAACCCGTTGACATTTTTTTTATATATCTTTTTTACTTTACTATATTTTGATTCGATGTCTTGTGCTATTTTAAGAGAAAACATCAGAGAAACATGCATGTCTCAAAAAGTTGTGCTGAAATAACTTAATTCCTCGTAATCACTAATAAACTTTAAAGTCTCATACGTTGAGACATCGGAGTGATAGGCTAGAATCACGATGTCTCATATGGTGAGACAGCGGAGTGCAAAGGGTTAAAATAAAATATAGTATAATAAAATATATAATAAAATATAGTATATTAAAGTGTAGTATTTTACTATATACTAAATATACTATATAGTATAGTATATTAAAAATAAATATATTAAAAGATATAATATTTTAAAATAGAAATTGAGATAAAACACTTATCAGATATCGTTTGAACTAACAAACAAAAATTCTCTTTTTTTAACTCAGTTTAATTTATTTTTATCTTATTCGATAAGGTTACACAAAACTTCCCCTTCCCTTTTCACCTTCTTCTTCACACCTTCTCCCCTCCATCAACTTTTTACTTTGAATCATATGATTTATTGATATATATATATGTATTATAAATCAGATGTGCATGTGCAATCAAAATTTATTATCAAAAGTAAACTACAAGTTAACATTTCTCCCAGAATATTATTATTATTATTATTATTGTTATTATTATTATTATTATTATTATTATTATTATTATTATTATTATTATTATTATTATTATTATTATTNTTATTATTATTATTATTATTATTATTATTATTATTATTATTATTATTATTATTATTATTATTATTATGATAATTTTGATTGAATTTAATCAAGTTGATATAATATTTATATATGTGAAAGATTTAAAAGAGTTAATCGAGAAGCTTATATATGATGAATAATCTTCTTGATGACACTTAAGCATGATAATACCTAACATAAATTTATGCTTTTAAAACTTATATGACATATAGGAGTTTAATTTAAATGCTGGTTCTGGATGTTATTTCTCTCGTGGTATTAAGGATTAAAACTAGGCCTGACAATCTGACAATGAAGAGGATCATATAGATGATGATAATAGTAATACTTTAATAATATTATCATTTATTATTATTATTATTATTATTATTATTATTATCATTATTATTATCTTTTGCATCATTAGAAAATTGTATTACTACAAAATTTTTGAAGTAACCTTAAAAAACCTTTAAATTGTATTATTATCAAAATTTTTGGAACCTCTTGATTAAAACAAAATTATTTTTATTATTAAATTATTATATTTTTTAATATTATTATTTTTATTATTTATAATTATATTATTATACTTTTTATTATTATTTTTGAAATTGTATTACTATATATAAAATTTATGAATTAACCCCTTTTAAATTGTACTACTATAAAATTTGTTGAATCCCCGTTTTAAATTGTATTATTACAAAATTTTTGGAACCCATTGATCAAAGCAAAAATTATTTATAATTATATTATTATATTATTATTTTACTCTATTTTATTATATTTTATTATTACCTATTATTTTTATTTTTAAATTAATATTATTATTAATAAACAAAGTTAATTTACTTTATTTATTATATTATTATATTTTTTAATATTATTATTTTTATTATTTTTAATTATATTATTATATTATTATTTTACTCTATTTTATATTATATATTATTATATATATTTTATTATTACCTATTATTTTTATTTTTAAATTAATATTATTATTAATAAACTAAGTTAATTAATTTTATTTATTATATTTATTATACTATATATATTTATAATTATATATAAATAAAGTTATATTAAAAAATAAGTTAATAATAAAATAAATTATTACTTTATTATTAATTTACATAGAAGAAATGAAAAAAAACCACCTCCGAAAAAAAATCCAAAAATATATTACCAATTAACAATTTTGACTGTACTTGTTAAAACAGAATACTATATACATACATACATACACATACACACACACACACGCATATATATATATAAGATAAAAGGAAATAATAAATCATAGCATAA